TGTGATGTCCCTGTCCCCTCCAGGCTGATCAACGTCACCATCGAGTTCCAGCTCAAAGCCATCAACATCCAAACGCTGCTCAACAACGAAATCCCCGACTGCTACCGCTTCGGTGTCACTGTGAGTGTCACCCGAGTGTCCCCAAATGTCACCTGAGTGTCCCCAAATGTCCCCAAATGTCTTCAAATGTCACCCGAGTGTCCCCTGATTGTCCCCTGAGCATTCCCGACTGCTACCGCTTCGGTGTCACTGTGAGTGTCACCCGTGTCCCCAAATGTCACCCCAATGTCACCTCTGTGTCACCCAAGTGTCCCCAAATGTCCCCTGAGCATCCCCGACTGCTACCGCTTCGGTGTCACCGTGAGTGTCCCCAAATGTCACCCCAGTGTCACCCGAGTGTCCCCAAATGTCTTCAAATGTCACCTGAGTGTCACCTTCAGGGTCACTTGGAGTGTCCCCGACTGCTACCGCTTCGGTGTCACCGTAAGTGTCACCTGTGTCCCCAAATGTCACCTCTGTGTCACCCGAGTGTCCCCAAATGTCACCCCAATGTCACCGTCAGTGTCCCCAAATGTCACCCGAGTGTCCCCAAATGTCCCCAAATGTCACCGAATGTCACCATCAGTGTCCCCAAATGTCACCTGGGTGGGGATGGGATGCGATTTCTGGTCTTTGCATGATTTTTGTGATTTCTGTGATTTTTGTATGGTTTTTATGATTTTGGGGATGTCCTGGCTCTGTGTATTTTTTGTGATTTCTGTGATTTTTCCATGATTTCTGTGATTTTTCTGTGATTTTTCTGTGATTTTGGGGATTTCTGGCTCTGTGTGATTTCTGTGATTTTTCTGTGATTTTTGGGGATTTCTGGCTCTGTGTGATTTCTGTGATTTCTGGGATTTCTGTGATTTCTGTGATTTTTCTGTGATTTCTATGATTTGGGATGTCCTGGCTCTGTGGGGTTTCTGTGATTTTTGTGATTTCTGCAATTTTTGTATGATTTCTGTGATTTTGGGATTTCCTGGCTCTGTGTGATTTCTGTGATTTTTGTGATTTCTGTGATTTTTCTGTGATTTTTGTGATTTCTGTGATTTTTCTGCAATTTTTGTATGATTTCTGTGATTTTGGGGGTTTTCTGTGGTGCCAGCGCTGTCCCCGTGTCCCCAGATCACGTT